AGACCGAGTACCGAATTATCGTGCCATATGCCTTTGATGTATTCAGTTCAAGGGTATTCTTCTTCCAGGAAAAGGTGACGCAGTAGTTCGTCGAAACCTCCAGAGAGTCTTATTACACCGGAAACTAAATTTCTTCATTTGAATTGTAGAAATAAGGGAAGACAGCATTACAACTATTTTAAAACACATGAGTATCTTCTTCTCCCTAGCGTTAGTCCCGCGCCGTCGCAGGGTCCGCTGTTCTTGTTAGACGTCGCCACTTGTTCCGATCCACTGCATCTTCTGCTGTGGCTTTCACTTCAGTGAGGTCCTTCTTGATGACGTCCCTCCATCTTTTCTTTGGGGCTCCTCGTGGTCGCTTGCCCTCTGCTTCGAATTCCAATGCCTTCCTTATTGGGTGGTCTTCAGGCCTCCTCAGTACGTGCCCATACCATCGCAGTCGCTGCTCTCGTGCCTTCAGCTGGATCGGAGCCGTCTGTGTGACCGCCCTGACGTCCTCGTTTCTGACTCTGTCGAGTCGTGTCCAGCCGCAGGCCCATCTCAGCATCCTCATTTCAGCTGAGTGGAGCTGCCTTTCATGGTTCTTGCAGATGGGCCAGCACTCACTGCCGTAGAGCATTGTAGGCCTTACCACGCCCGGTACACCTTGCCCTTGAGCGTTCACCGCCGGTCGCACAGGATGCCAGTGGACTCCCTCCATTTCATCCAGGCTGCGTTGATTCGGGCCTTCACCGCCTGGTCCACGCTGCCATCAGCTGCTAGGTCGCTCCCCAGGTACTGGAAGTCCTCGACCCTTTCGATGCTCTCGCCATGGCAGTCTACGATGGGTTCGTTACACTCTTCGGAGCTCAGGAACTTGGTCTTCTTTACGTTCAGCCGGAGTCCATTCTCAGCGAGCACATCCTGCCACCGCTGCACCTTGTCCTGGAGTTCCTCCCTGCTGTCCGCTATCAGGGCGATGTCGTCAGCGTAGAGGATGGTTTTCAGTGGTCCCTCCATGAGTTCTTTTGCCATGACATCCAGAGTCAGGAGGAAGAGGAACGGGCTGAGGGCTGATCCTTGGTGTACCCCAACCGTAATGTTTACCTCCTTTGTCAAGCCGTGAGGGGTGCGTACAGCTGCTTTAGCCCCATCGTACATGTCCTTCACTATGGAGACCAGGTGCTCCGGAACGTTACGTTCTCTAAGCGCTCTCCAGAGTACAGGCCAGGCGGTCGAATGCCTTCTCAAGGTCCAGGAAGGCTAGGTAGCAGGGTCGCCGCTTCTCTCGGTACTTCTCCATCAGCTGTCTGGCGATGAAGATGGCGTCAGTGGTGGACCTTTCAGCCGAACTGTTCCTGCGAGATAGGGACAAGTTCCCTCAGCCTAGTGTTGACCAGGCGCTCGTACAGCTTCATGGTATGGGGAGTCAACTTGATAGTTGGAGCACTCCGTCGCGTCCCTTTTCTGTTCCATGATGGGGACGATTGTGCTGCTCCTCCACATCTGGCATCCTTCCTTCAGCCGTTACGTTGTTTAGGAAGTGTGTGAGCCAACTCACCCCATGCTCTCCAAGGGCCTTCCATGCCTCTATCGGTACCCCGTCTGGACCCACTGCTTTCCCAACTTTCATTCTCCCTAGCTCCGGCGGACTTCATCCTTCGTCCAGGGAGTGATGGGACCTGCCGTCGCCTCTATCTGTGGGCTATCCTTGCGAGGGAATTCTTCGTTCAGAAGTCCCTCGAAGTATTCTTTCTGACTTCGGCTGGTTTCCTGAGAATGGCCCGTTGCTGCTCTTCACAGTCTTTATGACCTGAGCAGCGCGATGCCGAGCTTTAGCCAGGCGGAAGACGAACTTGTCCCCCTCGGCCCTCCAGCTTCTCGTACAGGGCGTCCATTTCCGTATTCTTGGCCTTAGCAACGGCTGCCTTAGCGAGTCGCTTGCAGCTCTTGTAGGCAGCGAAGTCTTCTGGGCTCCTTGTCTTTTGCCAGCGTTTATATGCTTCCTTCTTCTGCTTGACGATCCCCTGGACTTCCTCGTTCCAGAACCAGGCTGCCTTGTCTCCTCTGATGCCACCTCGCGTCTCTCCCAGGACTTCCTTTGCACACTGTAGGATGACCTCTGCTGCGTGGGTCCAGGTGTCCTGGACTGGCCCATGTGGGTCTGGGAGCCCAGCCTCCAGTATTCTCCGGCCGAGGCTATCCGCTATCGGTTTTCTACCTTGCACATTTTCCACGCACTGAATTCCTCGCTCTGCTCTCACCCTTGTCTTCTTGGGGGTTCTATTTCGATGTCTGTCAGGAGAGGCCTGTGCTGAGGGCCCAGCTCTTCCCCAGGCAGTACCTTGATATCCTTGACGGTTTTGAGAGACGATCTTCTGACCAGGACATGGTCGATTTCCGTTTGTCTCCCTCCACTGCTGTAGGTTATCTTCTGAGTCCTCTTCCGCGAAGAAGGTGCCACCCCAGATTGCTAAGTCGGTGCTTCTGTGGTCAAGGAATCGTTCCTTCAGCGCTTCTTTGCCCCCTATTCCTTGGCCTCCGTGCACGGATCCTTTCCAGACCCCTTCTGTCATCTTCTCAACGACAATTCAGATCCCTAGCTGTGGTGAGGTAGTCATCTTCCGGAACCGATCTTATGGCCTCGTCCAGGGTCAGGTAGAACTCATCCTTTTCCTCCTCGGAGCGAACGGATTGTGGTGCGTACACGGTCAATGCGAACCAGTAACCACTCACATCTTGTCGTCGCTCTACAACCATGACTCGGCAGTCAGATGCAGTCTTTGAGGGATTCTGCCACCGCAATGGCCACGCCATTCCGTTTGGGGCCTGCTCCATTGTAGAAGTGTTTGACACCTTCTCCGACCCCGCGCGCCTTCGCACCCTTCCATCGCGTTTCTTGAAGGCATAGGACTTGAATATTCTTGCATCTCATGAGGTCGGCAACTTCACGAGACTCCCCGGTAAGCGACCCCCTACCCTTCAGGGCCCGCCAATTCGAACTAGCTTCTTTGGCCGAGGTCGTTCACGCCTCGGTAGCCCTCGCATACTGACCACAGAACTCGGGCGAGGGTTCTGCGCGCCACTTCCGGGTGACGCGATCCTAAGCTTTACCACTGCTACTTTTGTGACTTATCTGAATGTTGTCGAAGCAGTTCCTCCCATCAGCCGGCCTGTCAAACCTGGGCCTCGAGCTGGATCGTCCCCATTTTGTGTAATGCCTTGAAATTGTAATTCTTCTTCTTCGTCTTCTTTTCTAATTATACCTCTCAATTCTTCTTTTTGAGACTATCCTGTATTATAATAAGTTCTCATCACAGTACTGCACCGTCTCATAGCCTCTCTCAGCCCCCGTCTTAGCATACAAGGGGCCCCAGAAAAAAGTCACTTTTTTCCATCCTGACTTTCGAGTCGTTTTTCTGATAAATCTACCCCTTCTTGTCGAAACTTCTCCAGTCCGGACACTATTTACCCAGCGATAGTTCTAAAGAGCATATTAAAATACTAATCGTGACACTCGCGCCACAAGACTAAATGCCCGACGAGGCGCCAACTCGAGAGATTTCCTGCACGCCGACTGGAGCGGCGAGTGGTTGGTGGCTGAGATCCAGCGACAGTAGTTCGAATTTCTCGGCACACCGTGACCACCCTATAAACTTCGGCCCAAGCCAAAGCGTAATCGCAGGGATTCAGTCAGTGACTTCCCTTGATATTCCACATCTTCTTTAGGTCCCACGCAACCCCCCCTTCCAATCCCAAGTAGCGAGCAGTTGTTTCCAACGTCCTTCGATTCCATGTGGTGGCACCAATGCTGTAGCAGTACAAAGTTTCCAAGAAGGTACGGACGACAACATGTGAGGAGGATATTCTTCACGAGTTGCTCAATGTAACCGCCAGCGCTCACCTTATGTCCGGGGTCCACGAAGAAAATATTGGTCTTCCCATTCCAGGTACGTCCGGTCCATACCCAGTCAACGCTACCGGCTCCCGGGTCTCGGCACCGTTGACGACTGTGGTGAAGATGATGTCACGACCGACGGCGGAGTTGTTCGAGCTGCTCGATCGTTGGACGTCATCCGCGAGATCGAGAGTACTGTCTTAGGTGAGTACCTTGGGCTGACTTCCATAACTTTGAAGTGTTCGGCAGCTGTTTTGAGGTGAAAATTCCATAAGGCCTTCCCCAGCAGGCGCGGACTGGAGATTGACTTTATAATATTTGTGTGCACATGAAGGTGATGGGCGAGAGCCAGCTCCTGCTGTAGAGGAACATCTTGGGTATCTTCCCGCCCTGGTACTCGTATCCACGTCCTCTGTCTGGGCAGCGAAAACTTTGCTGATAGTGACTCGGTCGAAGTGACTTTTTTTTTTGCCTGTATAGTGGCTCATGGGTCGTACAAGTGGTAGGTGGCATCTTGAGCTAAGGTTTTGTGGCACTTCAAGCAGGATGCTTTCAATAAGCTACAATTCTAAAAACTACTTCATGCCTCCCAGAATGTAGCAGCGCTTATAAATATTAATTAGGACAAAAGAATCCATTTGAAGCCGCATAACCTTTATGTGAGCTCCAGTTTGCAAAAAAATCTTTCAAAATTCAGTTGCCTCCATAATCTGTAAAGTGACGCCCTTTTGCATGTTCGCCACCCCTTTTGCGACAAACGGTCTCTCAGCGATTCTGTTGCTTCTGGGGAGATCCGAAGACAAACAAGAAAACTTTATTCATCTGAATTCCATCGTAATGATAAATTGAATCTACGACTAACTCACGAAGAAATGCTGTGTTTGAAGTCAAACAAGGGGTGCAAACACAGAGGTGGTGAGATTCAAGTTGTTGTTGTAGGAGATACGACCAGAGCAAGGGTTGTTGGATGAGTGTGGGAGAGCATGGGAATGGGAAATTCATTCTATGAGATCTGATGTTAGGAATATCAAGTGCGCCGTGACTGTGTGACTTTCTCAACGCGATATTGTTGTGTGACTTTTGAACGAATGTGTTTGATGCCGAGGATACGGTCAGCAGCACATCACATCTGCTCAGGATCCGATCGACCGAATCGTACGAACGTCTGAGCTCTCTTGCCAAATCTCACAAATGTCTGAGCTCGCTTGCCAAATCGAACGAATGTTTGCGCTCTTTTTTCCGGCGATGAAGGTATGCCATCTGAAATTTATGGACTCAGTGAAGGTGACTAGAGAAAAGCTCTCACAAAATAAGGGCTTTGCTCTATGGAGAGGAAAATGCATTGTGAAGAGGAATGAAGAGAAAACATTCTCACCTGATTCGGCAATTTCTTTTCGGAGGAGTTCCACAAGTTCCCGTTCTCGCTCGATATCTTCCGGACTGACTTCCACCAACCCTGAAAGATGGACGTGAGATCCTGTACAAGCTCCTTTTTGTTCTCAAAATGTGTTACTACTTATTTGCAAGCAATCGTTTTTATTCAGCCATTCCTGCAGCCTTTACACCTCTGTTTCCAGTCCTCCTCTAGCGTTTTTCATCATTTCTCTACTACAGTATTTAGCCATCGAATGTGGTACGCTTAGCTAACAATAACGGTCAATGAAGGAAATAGTGGTATTATCCTAGAAACTGTTTTTGAAGGTAGTGTAGTGGTAAATGAGCAATGAGTGCGGTCGTTGGGACCGAACTTTTGCCAAGACTAATTGAACCTTCATCCCTTTCAGGACCGATCATTTGGTAGCGGACTTTTATTGAGAGGATGAGATCACTGATTTCTACGTTAGATAGCCGCAAGAGAACAGATTGCATCCACTGTGACACCGCTATTCTGAATTTGAAGGCAAGTGACACGAAATCCCAAGACTGTCGGATTAGGTCTAGCAGGACAGATTTCGCCGCGTGGCGCCTTTTCCGAGGAAGGTGCCCCTATAGCCAGGATACGCCATCGTTGTGATCATCAGAAGGGGGAGGGTCGTATTTGGTCAGAGAAGAATTTTTTTTGATTGTTGATTTCTCTTGTTTCACAGACGCTGTAAAGGGGGGGGGGTCGTACCAACTCCCAAAAAGGGGGTCGTATTTTAGTATGGAATTAGGGGGGTCGTAATTTTCAGAAAATGATCACAACGCGATGGCGTGCCCTGCCTATAGCGTCTTATCAAGCTGCAATATACCGACCCGACGCCCACCACGCCCGCCCGCCCACACGTATCCGACCGATGATGATGCTCGTACATTTGCGATGTAAATATGAAACGAAGGGATTTATATGAAGTGAAGGCAATGATATAGAGCGGTCGTGTTGCTGCCTAGGCATACGAGTACATACGTGCAGCCGTATCTACCGTAGCGTTTTTGGCACGATGCCAACAGGAAACTCGTCCGAAATTGCTTTCTGAGTCGTGTAGAACAAAGGCTTATTTTGCAAGTTTTTGACCTTTCACATCGTTTTTTATCATTTTCCCCCTATATAGCAACTCTGCTATCATTTTGGATCGAGTACCAATTTATCGTGCCATATACCGTTAAAAAGAATGCATGGCGAAAAGGATAAGCCAACGCTGGAAGCTTAATCCTTTCATTCTTGTTACCCTTTTATTCTCTTCATCCTGACATATAGAACAGAGCTAACGGTCCGTAGCTTCTATTCCTGACCAACGGAGCCTTTTCAAAAGAGGGAGTTCAGAGCAATTGTGAAGTACCAAAGTCCAAGAGAGCATCAGAACCATCTTGGAGTGAACCTATGTAATGTCACGTAATCCCCGGGATGGCGTCATATCAACCCCCGTCGTACAATTGTGGTCTAAGTCCTTGGCTATTGTGTTTCTCGAGGCGCTTCGAATAGAACTCAATGAACCAGCAGTCTTTACCACTTATTCCATTGTTTTCACGCCCCAGTTAGTAACGCTGGTGACCACAATGATTATGACACCAGCAAACAATCGTCAAATTAGCTGTATTGTAATTCACTCTGGAGATCAACATTGTTATCGGAGGAAAAAAAGCAAAGCCCTGAAGCCCACGCATTCAGCAATTACCCAGTCATGGAATAGAATCAGCAGAGAGCTGCAGAAAACCTTTATGTTCTACGTATTCTTGATTTGATAAATGGAAATCCGATAGAGATGTTTTGGTCCTCAAAAATGCTGAGTGTTCATAGTTCGCGATCTAATTGCGCGGAAGCGCTCAGCGTTCATGGGAGGAGCGCCGCGACGTCATCTGGGATAAATTACCTATCGGCCTCCAAATTTTTTTTGCACTTACTTGCACGTTCCGTCCCCCATCAAAATATGATTTTTGCATGCTTCGACTTTTCTGTAGCGCATATTTGATGACAATATTTATATTTTTCAGCTTATGCATCACAGTTGGGTTATTACTGGCATGAAATCCTATCTAGCAGACCTCTTCTTTGCTGACCTGTGTTTGTTACTGATTCTTTATAACAAGTAACTGTGGAGAGAAAATAGACAGAGCACCTTAAATTCCGGATGTAA